AGATAAACAATTATTTTTCCCAGTCTGCAATAAGTAATTAGCATATTGAAATTAAGTCCCTTAACACTTAAAATTGGCTCGTTAAAATTCCACAATTAGATAAAAAGTTATTCAAAATGTTCAATAAATACGGTTATCAGAAACACCTTGAATTATATAAGACAAACTGTTGTGATTTTTTAAAAAAAATTTAGTCTTTCTTAATTTTTTAGATAAACAATTATTTTTCCCAGTCTGCAATAAGTAATTAGCATATTGAAATTAAGTCCCTTAACACTTAAAATTGGCTCGTTAAAATTCCACAATTAGATAAAAAGTTATTCAAAATGTTCAATAAATACGGTTATCAGAAACACCTTGAATTATATAAGACAAACTGTTGTGATTTTTTAAAAAAAATTTAGTCTTTCTTAATTTTTTAGATAAACAATTATTTTTCCCAGTCTGCAATAAATAGTTAGTATATTTGATTAAGTCCCTTAACACTTAAAATTGGCTCGTTAAAATTCCACAATTAGATAAAAAGTTATTCAAAATGTTCAATAAATACGGTTATCAGAAACACCTTGAATTATATAAGACAAACTGTTGTGATTTTTAAAAAAAAATTTAGTCTTTCTTATTTTTTTAGATAAACAATTATTTTTCCCAGTCTGCAATAAATAGTATATTTAAATTAAGTCCCTTAACACTTAAAATTGGCTGATTAAAATTCCACAATTAGATAAAAAGTCATTCAAAAAGTTCAATAAATACGGTTATAAGAATCACCTTAAATTAATTATATAAGACAAACTGTTGTGATTTTTTTTAAAAAATTTTCGCCTTTCTTAATTTTTCAGATTAACAATATTTTTTTCAGTCTGCAATAAGTAATTAGTTTATTGAAATTAAGTCCCTTAACTCTTAAAATTGGCTCGTTAAAATTCGACCATTAGATCAAAAGTTATTCAAAATGTTCAATAAATACGGTTATCAGAAACACTTTGAATTATATATGACAAACTGTTCTGATTTTGTTTTTAAAAATTTAGTATTTCTTAATTTTTTAGATAAACATTAATTTGTGTTCCTTAATGGAATAATTTTTTTCTGCATATTTGTTCTGTATAACACATTTAGCTTAAAATCTATAATATTCATTTATTAAATTACATTCTTCATTTAATAATTTTACATTTAAAGTATCACTTGCGTTTTACTTAGTATTCTTCGTCTAAGCGTTTGCTAAATTATTTATAATCTTATTTTTTAAAGATATAATTAGGTAATTCAGTCGGGAAAAAATTGGATAAAATTCTATAAGTGACAAAACTCTGTATTAATCATAAATTTTATTTCTGAGAGAAAAAAAATTAAGTGCGGCTACCTAAGGATTGAGCGAACGTTAAAGAAAGTACCAACACATGAAAAATTACTATTTTGTTCGATAAGTAAACTTTAGTTCGATTTCATATTAAATTTTACATTTGAAGTATCAATTGCTTTACCATTTTATCGGGAAAAAATTTTTTATAAATTATTTATGTTCTTATTTATAATCTGAAAAGGTATTTTATAATCTAATGATTCTCTTATTATCTAAAAAGGAAGTAAATAAATAAATAAATTTTTCGTTACCTTAAAACAATCTATATTATTCGTGATTATTATTATTATTATTTTATTTTTGGAAAACTTGACAGAAATCACACGAAAATTAAATTTTGGTTTATTAATAAATATTGAGTTCACTAGCATAATAATTGAAAACAAAGATGTTTTGTAACGTTAATGGTAACCACTTTTAATGCAAATGGTAGTATTAATAGATTTTGCTGCCACATTTTGTACACTAAATTATTTGGTGAATATTATCGTACTTCGGGAACTTAAGATTTTTAAACAAATACAGAGTTTTAAAAGTTTTGAATATTAAAAGTATTTTCTTAACTCTTATTATTTACAGATTGGGAAAGAATTCTATTTAAAAAGAGTTTCCTTTACTTTTGGAAAAAGAATACTTTTCCATCTCGTGCCGGTGTAAGTAATTTTGGATATTTTATTTATTTATTATATTTAAAAAAAAATCACTTTTATATAAAAAAAAAAGAAGTTGAATTTACTTACACTTATTAAATTAGAGTTAGAGAATTTATCGCCTGCGTTGGCGAAATGGAAAGGTACCGAATTTCAATGTTCATTCAGATGAAATTTAATTTTTATTTGGTTTGTTTATCATTTTATTTAATTACTTTCCAAAATTTGAAATCACATATGTAGAGTTTGGGAAAACTGATCAGTTAAGAGCAAAAGTTATGAAGATTACTTTCTATTGAGATAACAAATTAAATCGATTAGTGACTCAAGTTAGTGACATAATTCATAACATAACCTCTTAGTTGTAGTATTAAGATAAAAAAATTCTTAAAGATAGTTCAGTGCTGACATCTATTAACAAAGTCTTATACTACCGTCAGCAGCTACTATATTAGAGAATTATTTTAAACTAATACTGCCTTTTATATAGATTATAAAATAAAATCTTCATTTATCCTTTTTTAGGTCACATGTAGTTTATATATAGCTGTATTATTTGTTGAAATAAAATTTAATTTGAGGAACCCAGAATTAAAAAGTTCTTTTTAAAAAAACGCTACAGCACCTAATCCCAATTTGTATAACATTATTTTGAAATTTACATATCACTAAAGCCTATTAAAATAAGTGAACAGTATTGTTCAATATTCTTAGATCAATTTGGGTTTTTCACTACGGTTTGCTTGGAGCAGAGATATCGCTGGAACAATAAACAAATATTTAGAGGCAAATTTAGAACCTAACAACCACTGAGAGTTAAACCTGACAGGAGAAAAAAGATTTATTGAAAAAGCTTATAAAAAGATTGAGGAGCAGAAATAAAGTGAGTGATACTTTCTGTTA